CAGCACTCCTCATGTGCCTCCTCAGCTGTAGTTTGTCCATCCTCAGTTTAGCAGATTTTATAGTTTGGTTCTTTCCAACTTTCCAGAGAGCACTGACGTGAGAAATATTCCCCTGTGGTGATCCCATAGCTTCTGGTCCCCTCCCACTTTCTAGGTTTCCAAGGTGTTTAGGACTCATGAATTTTTTTTAAAAAAAAATTTTAATATATTTTATTGATTTTTTACAGAGAGGAAGGGAGAGGGAGAGAGAGTTAGAAACATCAATGAGAGAAAAACATCAATCAGCTGCCTCCTGCACACTCCCTACTGGGGATGTGCCTGCAACCAAGGTACTTGCCCTTGAGTGGAATCAAACCTGGGACCCTTCCGTCTGCAGGCCGATCCACTGAGTCACATTGGCCAGGGCAGGACTCGTGAATTTTCCATTGGACTTGTGAATGATGCCAGGGCCACCTCTCGGGGGTACCTATATCCTCACCAGTGCACAACTGGTCTGGTGGAGAAGGGGCTGGATGTCAGGCCCCTGCCCTGCCCTGGCCCAGCACCTAGTGAAGATCACAAGCTGGACAGCAGTACAGGTTGGCTCTGCTACTTGCTGGCCCTGAGGTACCACTTGGTGAACACACTCGCCCTGAGCACCGCCAGATGGAATCAGTCAGTCCTCCTAACACCCCGTGAGGCAGGTCTTACCATCTTCCTCGGCTCACAGACGAGGAGTCTGAGTCCCAGGGAGGATGTGGATGCTCATTGTGGCAACAAGAGGAAAGGTGAGCGTGGAGCCCAGGCCCGCGCAGGTGCTCTGCCCGCAGGTGTGCGCGTCCTCTCTCTCGAGCATGAGGTTGCTGTAGCTGCTGCTGGCCACCAGCCACACTGCCTCCCTCCTCCCCGTTCCCTCTACACTTGTGTCCTTCTCCCCCGCAACTAGCACTCCCTCCTATTAGCGTCTTTCTCCTGCTCACTGTCCTCGCACAGCCAGATCTGAGGACACGAGGAAAAGGCCGAAAGATGAAGGAAGGGGGCAATAAAAGGGGCCTGCTGATTGCAAGGATGGGGAACGTTTTTCCTGCCCAGGGCCGTTTGGATATTTATAACATCATTCATGGGCCATACAAAATCATCGACTTAAAAATTAGCCTGTTTGGCCAAAACTGGTTTGGCTCAGTGGATAGAGCATCAGCCTGCGGACTGAAGGGTCCCGGGTTCGATTCCGGTCAAGGGCAAGTACCTTGGTTGTGGGCACATCCCCAGTAGGGGGTGTGCAAGAGGCAGCTGATCGATGATTCTCTCTCACTGATGTTTCTAACTCTCTATCCCTCTCCTTTCCTCTCTGTAAAAAATCAATAAAATATATATTTTTAAAAATTAGCCTGTTTGGTCAAACATTTAATGAACTCAACTCTCATGCCTTGGTAGGGCCAGACCCAATGATTTCCCAGCCTTAGTTAGCCCTTAGGCTGGCCGTCCCCCACCCCTGATTGGGGAAGAGAAGGCAAAGAAGGTGGCCACTGGCCGGGGACAGAGAAGGAAGGAAGCTGGGTGAACCGAGGAAGAGGGCACAGGCTGGGCTCCCATTGTGTGGGCACAAAGGGGCCATCTGCCTGGCAGCCTACGCAACGTGTATGTGTGTGTGTGTGTGTGTGTGTGTGTGTGTGCGTGCAAGGAGAGAGGGGAAGGAGTGGCTGAGAGTCCTCCCCCAAACCCCATTCTCAAACCCTAGGGACCCTGCTGTCACTGGGGGTGGGGTTTGCGGAGAAAGAGGGCAGAGAGGAGCAATTATGACGGAGAGGACTGGAGGCCCGCGGCCTGCAGGAGCCAGGCATGGACCAGGGCGAGGACAGCTGCAAGGGGTATGACCCTAGGAGAAGGGACTGGAAGAAGAAGGGAGAGGGGAGGGGCCAAACTGCCCCTCCCTCACCCCACTGGCCCTCACACTTGCTGGGTTTTGGAGGATGTGAAACCCAAGATGGCATGCTATTCTAGTCTCCTCTTCCTCCCTTCTCCTGGACTGCTGGCCCAGGAGCTCTCTTCCCCCCTATCCCTCAGCCTGGGCCTTCATCTCCCTGATAGTCTTCTCTCCCAGCGCCTGGTCCCTCTCCCTTCCCTCCATCTCTGCCCCCCCACCCCCCACTTCCCACCTCCTTCCTCACCCCTGTCCTTCAGAGCCCAGCAGCAGCGAGGCCAATCGATTATCTGAAGAAATTCGGAGCTAGCAGTAGAACAGCTGCAGCTGCCACCTCTCACCACCCCCAGGCCCTCAGGGATCCCTGAGGAGGGGGCCCTGCAGCCCCTTCTGCTTTCCAGCCTGGTAAAGGGAAGCGTGAGGGGGGAAGGGAGCTCAGGGGACTATGGCTGCTGTGCAGAGTGAGGCACAAAGCCCGCGGGGCCAGGAATGGAGAACCAGGTTCTAGTCCCAGTCCACCACGGCGTGCGAATCCCCCGAGCCTGTGGATAGCGGTAACCTGCCTTTAAAACAAAGATGTCGGCTGCCCTAACCGGTTTAGCTCAGTGGATGGAGTGTCGGCCTGCAGACTCAGGGGTCTCAGGTTCGATTCCAGTCAGGGGCATGTACCTTGGTTGCGGGCACATCCCCAGTAGGGGGTGTGCAGGAGGCAGCTGATCAATGTTTCTAACTCTCGATCCTTCTCCTTTCCTCTCTGTAAAATATCAATAAATATACATTTAAAATTAAAATAAAACAAATGTGTCGGATTCGGTGCTTTCTGTGCTCCCTTCCCACCCTTGCCCCTGTAGTCCTCTGATTCTCTCTGGCCTCCCTCTTGTCGTGTTCTGGGCAGAGAGCACATTTCGATCTAACTCAGACGGGGAAGGGGAGATATCAACCCTCCTCTCTGAGTCTAACTCACACCCTTCTTGCTGTTGATGCCATTCATCCTGAGCTCATCGCAGACGTCTTAGAATTCCCCTCCCACGGTCTGCCTTCAGCCTTCTCAGATGGTCTCCCGTCTGAAAGGATCCTGAAGACCCTGGAGGCAGGAATGTGCTCAGTGGTGTCACTGCCTGTCTGCCTGGCCCCCTCCTCCTGGACTCTGGTCCTTCACGGCAGGGCAGCTCCAAGCCCTGCGGTTTTTCTTGCAGAAAAAAAAAAAAACTGTTCCCTGTAACTTTCACCTGCTGGTCCTGGTTCTGACTCCTGAGACCACCCAGAATGTCTGCTTTTGCTTCTTTTTTGTCTGTTTGTCTGCTTGCTTGTTTTCAATCTTTGAAGATGGGTAGCATGTTGCCCCCAAGTCTACTCTTGGGAAGACACATATCCTCAGTTTTTTTTAACTATTCCTCCTGGGAGGTCTCCAGGCCCTTAGCCTTCTTGACCACACAACTCTGAATGCTCTCTAGTTCATCAGTGTCCCATTAAAATACGGGGTCCATAAAGAGCCTCCCGTCAGGACGGGTCATTTCAGGGAGGCGGAGGGGCCTTGCGGTATGGAACAGAAAGGACCTGGGTTTGTCTTTGTCTCTGCCCACAGGAGCTGTGTGACCTTGGGCCAAGGCATCCTCCTCGCTGGGCATTGGTTTCCTCATCTAGAAGCAGATGTTAGGAGCCTCCCAGAATTCCTCTGGCAGTCCTTCAGCACTTCTCTGCATCCCTAACGTATTACTTAGTCCTGGGTCCATTCTGTTCTCCCCGTATACTGAGGTGGGGAAATACATGAGCCAAGAACTGAGGTTGCAAGGAGTTTTGACCCAGTTTAGAGACAATACCAGGGAAGACCGTGTTTCATGCCATGGCTTTTCCCAGGAGCGTGGACCCACAGATACAGGTTGAACTTGGGTTCCACTGGGACACTCAGCTCCTTCTCAGACCCATTGGGAGCAGGGGCAGAAGCACATCAGGGAGATCAGAAAGTGCCACTCAGTGAGTGCCCAACATGGGGGTCCATGAGGCTTTGGGTGGGGAGGTCTGGGGCCTGTGTGTGACACCTTCTGCTGCCCCTCTTTACTCTGTGACCCTTCTTTTTCCCGTCTTCATTTACCCCCCAGACTGCCCTCTGAAGGCCCCATCAGCAGAGCCGTCAAGGCCTGGAACCCACTGTGCCCACCCTACCATAACCTGCAGGCCAGCTTCCAACCTATTCAAATGATCCAAGCCATACCTGGTGGTAGAACGAGGTCACTTTAATTTTTCTTTTTGTATGAAATCGGAAATGCAACAGGACATAGGACACAGACCCCTAGGGCCCACACTTGGGGGTACTAGGGAACCGTGAGGGGTTGGCGGAAGGCTGAGGGAGAAAGAGGTGGGTGGGACAGGTGAGGTTGTCTGGGAATGGAGGGAGCTGAGGAAGGAACTGGGAGCCTTGGAGCTGGGAGAGGGACACCATCCAGAGGACTAGGGTGGCAGACAGATGGATCTGAGGAGGGATACGGGGTGTCATGAGCAAAGGGGATCCCCACACACACCTGCAGTTGCAGAAGGAGCACGAAAGGGAAAGGAATAATCAGGGAAGAAGCAAGAGAGACCTGGCCAGGGCTTCCAGGGACCTCCTCACCCTACCCCAAAGTGCACAACTTGGCAATAAATAGTAATATTTATAAATAAATAAGTAAATAAATAGACGAATAAATAAATACATAAATAAATATCCTTGTAGAGCTAGCAGTTTGGTGCGAGGGAGGAGCGTGCTGAGTGCAGGGAGCTCCTTTCTTTTGCACGGGTCCTAGGGCCCTTGTTCTGCTGCTGAGCCCAGGCTCTGGTGAGCACGTGGGGCTCAGTGACATGAGGGTGGGGCGAAGAGCTGGAGGTGGGTGGGTAAGGGTCAGTTTGAGGAAGGTAGTTTAAGGAAGGGGGGCGGGTAATAAACAGGCCCCATGACCAGGAGAGCTGAGTGCTCCCAGAGGGCGATGATGAGGCACCCTCTGCATCCGAGGGATGTGGGTCTGCACATTTTCGTGGTGGGCTTGGATGCAAGAAGCAGAGGTGAGATCTGGCCCACCCATTCCCTGGGGTGCGTTTGGGGACATCATCCCCTATCCCAGGAGGAAATTGGAACGGTAGGAGTGGGAGGGGCCAAGCAGGGGGGAGGAGCAAATAGCTCAGAGAGCGCAAGGCACTCTCTACCAACATCAAGGTCTGCATCCTCAGGAACAAGATAGAAAACAGGAAGACTTTCTCCCCAAAGTCAGCTACTGGGATTCCCCCCACGGAGATGATGTCATCTTCACAGGCCCCTCTGCCGAACTAGACTGAGATCCCACCTCACCCTAAGCCCAGCCTACCCCTTCCTGTTCCCACGTTCCCTCCCTACCATGGGCAGGAGAGGCTGGAACAGGGTGGAAAGAGGATGGCAGGGTGGGGGTCTGGGTCTCAGAAAATCTGGGGTAGAAGAGGGAGCAGCCCTTGAGAGAGCTAGGGGGACCCAATGTGTGGGGAGCTTAGTAAATCCAACGAGCACTGGACACCCACCTCCCGCAGACACTGCTAACAGCTGGGGCCCAACCACACACGGAGAAGACGCCAAGGTCGGTCATAGAAAGCCGCCTTCATGACCCACGGGGACATCATCTCTACCCCAGACCTGGGGGGCTCCATGCCAGGGTACGGGGCTCAGGAGAAGGATGTCTGTCCTAGTCAGGGGGCGAGGAGAAGGGAGCTGGGGAGGCCCGGGGAGGGCGCCCCCAGGCCGCCGTCAGACGTCCAGCACGTGGTTCAGGTAGGAGATGTAGCAGATGGCCAGGCGCAGGATCTCGATCTTGGAGAGCTTCTTGTCCGGGGGCAGGGTGGGCAGCAGCTTGCGCAGCTCTGCGAAGGCCAGGTTGAAGGCCTCCACGCGGATTCTCTCCCGAGTGGCGTGGGCCGTGCGGTACTTGGCCGTGGCCCTGCGCCTGCGCCGCCGCTCCTCCCGGCTCAGGTGCTGCAGGTCTTTCCTGCCAGGCTCCCCCGGCTCCAGGCCCCGGGCCTGGCCCCCTCCTGGCCCCCTGGGCCCAGCCCCATCGGTGCCCGCCCCACCCCCGTAGTCACTGAAGCCTGACTCCGGCTCAGAGTGGGTGGGAGGCAGGTCCAGCTCCATGGGGTCTGAGTTGAGCATCATGATGGATGCCCCCTGCCCCGTGAGATCAGGATCCCCTCCCACCCTTCCCTCTGGGAGCCTGGACGCAGGTTGTGGGAGAGGCAGGAAGGGCCTTGGGTGATAGGGTCTGCCGCTGAGCTAGAGAAGGCAGAACCACTTCAGGAGTCCATGGCCAGGGTTCCAGCTGGGAGCCTGAAAGAGAGAAGGGGACATTGGTGGGGAGGAAGGAGGGACAGCTCAGAGATGAGGGCGTAAGGAAGGTTTGAGATGGACTGGGACTGGGAAGGGCAGAAACAAAGGGGAGGCTTAAGGTACAGCAGGACAGATAGACGGGTGGATGTGTTATTAAAGGAACAGGAGGAAAGATGGTAAGAAGGAAGAGAATCCAGAACATGAGGGATGGGGAAGGAGGAGAAAGACGAGGAGAACATGGGGCAGGATAAACCCGAGAACAAGATTAAAGATCTCAATGTGAGACCTAAACCTACAAAGCTCCTATAAAAACGGGAAAATGTTTCATGACATCGGACTTGGCAATGATTTCTTAGCTATGACACCCAAAGCCCAGGCAACAAAAGCAAAACTAGACCAATAGGACTTAAGATTAAAAACTTGTGTGCATCAGAGGACACAGTCAACAGAGTGAAAAGGCAACCCACAGGACAGGAGACCATTTTTAAAAACTATCTATTTGACAAGGGCTCAAAATCCAGAATACTATGAAGAACTGCCCCCTCTAACAACAGAAAACCAAATAACTTGATCAATACCTAGGCAAAGGACTTGAATAAACATTTCTTTGAAGGTGATGTACAAATGACCAACAAATGTATGCAAAGAAGTTCAACATGATTAGTCATTAGACACATGCAGATCAAAACCACAATGAGATATCTCCTCACCCCGTTAGGAGGGATGCTCTCAAAAACATAGAAAAGAACAGGTGTGAGGATGTGGAGAAAGTGGGGCCCTTGGACCCTGTTAGTATGATTGTACAATGATGTAACCGCTATTGAAGACAGGATAAAGATATATACCAAATGAATTGAAATCAGAAAAAAAGTAACTGAAACCAGGATTGTGAAGAGGTAAGTATCTGCCTTCCAATGCTCCTTGCAGCATTATTCACAACTGCCCAGATATGAGAGCAACCCAAAGGTCCATCTACAGACGGATAAAAAGAGTGGAATACACACACAATGAGAGAGCATTGGGCCTTAAAAAGGAAGAAAATCCTGTCACATGCTACCACCTAGATGAATCTTGAGGACATTACGCTAAGTAAAATAAGCCAGTTACAAAAGACATATTGTAGCTCAGCCAGAGTGGCTCTGTTGGTTGAAAGTTGTCAACCAGTTCACAGAAAGGGTGCTGGTTCAATTCCCGGTCAGGGCACATCCTGGGTTTTGAGCTTGATTCCCAGCCCCAGTAGGGGTGCATGTGGGAAACAACAGATTGATCTCTCTCTCTCTCTCTCTCTCTCTCTCTCTCTCTCTCTCTCTCTCTCTCTCTCTCCCCCTTACTCCAATCCCCATCTCTCTTTCCCTCTCTCTCTCTCTCTAAGTCCTTGGGTGTGAGGGTTAAAAAAGGAAGACACTGTGTGATTCCACTTAAATAAGGTATCTAAGTAGTCATTTTCACAAAAACATAAAGTACAATGTTGTTACCGGGGGCTGTGGGGAGGCAGAAAGGGGAGGTGTTGTTCCGTAGGCATAGAGCTTCCGGTTTGCAAAATGAGGATTTCTGAGCTCTGTTTAGCAATGTGAATAATCTTAACACTACTGGACAGCACACTTAACGTGGTAAATTGCATGGTGTGTTTTTACCACAATAATTTAAAAAATAATAATAAGGAAAAAGAAAAAAAACTGAACAACACTGAAGCTCTAGGTCCGTAGAGCTGTGACTCTAAACTTTTGCCAGCGAGAGAAGAACTGCGAGCCTTGGCCCCACTCTCCCTCCATGTGTGAGTGTGTGAGTGTGTGTGTGTGTGTGTGTGTGTGTGTGTGTGTGGTGGGGCAGGGAGGAGGCTGGAATAAACCTGCAGATTGCCCATTGTAGAGTGGACTGGGACATATGGAGCTCGGCACAGCTGCCCCAACTCAGTGGCTCCCAGCCCACATCCCGCTCCCAAACACAGCCACTTGGACAGCAGGTCCCACACCCTGTCCACTAGACTCAGGGGAAGGCACCTCCCTGGCCCCGCTCCCCTGCCCAGGACCAGCTCTTTCCTCCAGCTCTGACCTCCACAGCCTCCGACCTTCCTCTGGAAGGAAGATTGGAGAAAGGGACATACAGTAATCAGCTCCCCCAGCCCAAGGCCAGTTCAGACCTGGCCTGCAGAGGAGGGTGTGGACAGCTTCGTGGGGCACCATGATGAAGCCTAGTTAAGGCTTGCTTGTCCCCAGGGTCAGAGGAGGGCAGGGCGGGGCAGGGCAGCAGGAATACGGCCGGCCGGGAAGGCTGGGGAGAGGGCTCTGCTTTAGGGGGTGTTCAGCGGGCACAGTGGACCACTCACTGTGAGCTCAGCTCCCTCACGGCCACCATCATCCTTCCTCATCAGCCTTGGTTCTCCTGCCTGTCAGACAGTCTCACGGGGGACAGGCACCCCCAAGCTTGCCCACCCCACTGCACAGAAGACAGGCTCAACTGTAGTTGACCAACAGTTACTAAGCTGGGGGGGAGGGGGTGCAAGACCATCATTTGACTGGCACATACACACACAACAACAACACAAAACACAAGGTGGTTAGTGCTGAAATGTAGAACACATCCCATATTCCGGGGGCCAACAGTGTAGGGGGCCCCACAATCACTATCTTCCGGCACAGGTTCAGTTGCCCAGCTCACCACCCCAGGCTTCAGGATCTCCGCTGTGGGATCTCAGCACATCGATCACAGCCCCGTCCTCCCTCTGTCCCCAGGTTCCTGCCCCCTGGACTACCTTGCCGTGTCCTCCCACCCCATCTGTCTGCTCCCAGCCTGCCCACTGTCCCATCTCCACCCGGCCCACTGTCCTTCCCGGCTCCGGTCCTGGCAGCGGCTTCTATTTACCCACCAAGTCCTCACCCCCAAATCCGCTTCTGGTCTCAAATTTCCAGGCTCCGAGGACCAAGGACAGCAACGTTTCCAAGCATCCAGGACAAGACTTCTTGCCCCGCTTCCGCCATCCCCAACCCGACTGAGAACAGGTGGGCACAGAACCAGCGGGGAGAAGAAGGCAGAGGGAGGTGCAGGGTGGGAAGACACAGCACACTAGAGAGAGAACTAGAGGGAGGCTCTGGGAGGGGACTGGAGCCAGAGCGGGAGGGACACGCCCACCCCTCCCCAGCCCCTTTACCTAGGAGGACCCTGTGAGGGGATCCACGCTGGCAGGACAGGGGCAGCGCTGACAGCCCCAGTCTCCTCTGGCTGCTCAGAGCTCATCCGTCTGCAAAGTTAGTGACCAGCCTTCTAGAGCTCTCGGGGGCAGCGTGGCGTGGCTGCACAGGCTCCAGGGCGGATGAGAGGGGCACACATAGTGGGGATGTAGGACCAGGCGGAAGGGGTGGGCTCGACCAGGGACTGGGGCCACCAGTACCCACACACACGCACACACTCACAGACACACAGACACACCTGAGCTGGCCCAGCCCTATGTGTGTGTATATATGGAGATACACACACACACCCCCAGCTCTCCATTGGCTGGCCCAGGCTCCCCCCTCATCAATATTAAACAGGCAGGCCAGGCAGCCATTGGCAGAAGGACCTGGGAACCCCCCTAACCCTGGGAGCTGGGGATTGGGGGCTGGCCCTGGGGGTGGGGGGGAGGCAGTAGGGGAGCAGGGACATCTGTTCTCCATGCATATTTCATAAGCAAGAAATGGAGAGCTGGGGAAGGGGTGGGGCTGGGGCGAGAGCCAGGCAGGATCCCAGAGAGCCCCTCGGCCTCTCAGAAGAGGCAGCAGGGACAGAGTCCCTCAGCAAGCTCCATGTGAGTGCCACGGTCCCAGCCTAAGTCCCAGCGCGACTTTGACAGCTCCTTCCCGTGTCTCCTTTGCCCTGGGAAGGCTGCTCTCCTGGCTCCAGCAGGGAGGTCTCGGAAAGCACACGTGGACAGCACTAAGCAGCAGAAGAGAGCCAGAGAGTCCTTGCCCTCACCACGCTCTCAGCCTCCAAAGCTGGTACCACCGCCCCCTTGCCACGCTGCCTGTGGCCACTTTCCAGGCCCTGGCCTCATCCCTGTGGAACTCAATCACCCCACCTTCTTATCCCAGTCCCCCTTCTCCCCCCTACCCCATCGCCTGGGCGGCAGGATCAGATTCCTGACACAGATCCTCTTAGGAGTTTCTCGAGGCTGCCCATCCCAGCCTGACCCCCTGGGGAAAAGGTGATCTTAGAGGAAAGTCAGGGCGAACAGAGCCACGGGGCGGAGAGAGGAAAACCCAGCGTGAGAAGGGCTCTAGGGTAGGAGGGCAGGGCAGCCAGGCAGACTTCACGTTTGCTGGGGTATCTAATGAGCAGTGAGAAAACTAGATACAAAATTATATGCAAATGGGCACTGATTAAGTTCATATCAATAGCGGAGCTGCCCCAGCCTGCGTGCGTGTGGTGTGTGTGTGTGTGTGTGTGTGTGTGTGTGTTGTGGAGTGGCAGGAGCTGGGACCTAGGGAAGCACAGGAGGCAACGGGCCAGGTGTCAGAATCTGAAGTCCTCTGCCCACTCAGCTGGCATGTCTTCGCTGACCCTTTGGGAGCGCCCAGAAGGAACCATGGCTGGGGGCTGCGGAAACAGCGTGCCACCGAGAAGAGATCCCTGTCGGCGGTGTGGCTTCCGACAAGTACCATCAACTGTGCTTTCCTGTAAAATGGGGTTCATTCCAGCTGCTTCTTAGGTTGCCTTGGAGATTAAGCAAGATAATGCAAGCGACAAGCCCGGACCTTAGTAGGGCCACAGCCCACATTGAGGCTGTCTGAGGCATTTGCCATTTCCCTCGCTGATCAGCTTTTGCTGGGCTTTCTCCCGGGTGAGGCATTCCCTGCGGGGAGTCCTGCAATTCCTCCCCCAGGTCCCCCACCGCTTCCCAACCCCAGGCCTGGGAGGTGCCAACTCCCACCTGGGCAGGCCCAGACAGGTGCCCAGGCACCAGCAGATGGGCTGAGCTGGAGGGGAAAGGAGGCTGGAGGAGGGGGGCTGAGGGGGCAGGGGATCAGGTGGCATCTGAGTTCTTGCATCATCATTGCCATGGTGCT